GGGCGCTATACCGGTATGAACGTGACTACCGGTATTATGTTGTTCCATGATATGGATTTTGCTATATCGTGGATACCATTATATATTCATGAATTCAAATTTTGCATTTATATAGTTTTGTTCAATTTGGTACACTTTGCAAATTTGAACACAAATGACAATAAAGAGTCGAGGCTGAACGTTTTTGTCCTCTGTGTGCAATGCCGTACTACACAGGCATTAGTAATTAAACACATAGAGGGACGTAACAGAACAAATTAACAGAGCACAAATCGCCTAGTCCGTAGTCAGTGGTTCCCAAAACTAGGGGGGCACGGCAAGGCTGAGGGATAGTGTAAAGTCAGCAGATTATTTTGCAAAAGAAACCTCTGCACGGTGATAAAGACTACACTACATAATTTTCCCGCTTATCATGCGGCCACTTGTCTGAGAAGTAAATAATTGAGCGCAAAATATTAATTTGACATTTTAATTACCTCAACATGCAGCTTCTGAAATTTAATGCAATGAGCCCAACCTGCTCAGAAACGATGTAACACACCAGTTGCATATAGTGTGTACAGCATGATCATTTGCTTTGCAAACTTCTTACCCTTATAAAATATTTACATTAACCAGCTTCAGATGCAAAACAACCACCTATGGTATGACTTCCCACAATCGGAGACAGAACAAGGTTATGTTTAGATTGAGAATAGCATGCTATTTTATCTTTGCAGTATGTAGTGTGTGTAGAGTATGCAAATTCTCTGCATGCACAAGATACCCAGGTTATCGGCTACATTTACTAAAATGTGCAGTATAAACTCGACTTGACCTTTCATTTCCAGCGTGATGAATGAAGTACCAGCTGCAATTTCCAATGTTTTTATCACTACAGTATGATAAAAGTACTACACTCATACAGAAATATGCATTAAAGATGCAAAATAACTATGTGTAACTACTAAAAATACCAAGCATAGCATATTAATGTTTGAAATGGTAGACCTGGATCGATTTGCAGAGTTACAGGCAACTCTCTAAAGGTAAATTCAGTGCAAAATTTAGAGTAAAAAATGGTGGACACATACAATACAGCTCGTTCAGCCAGTAGCCGAATGGTGTATTATCATTTAATGACTGGGCTCTATTCCAGTTCAACAAAAGCTTAGAAACACACTGGACTTCAGGCCATTTTCCCACAGGGCTCTTGACTCATTACACTGCAATAAAAATCAGACGGTTTGATTCACTAACATAACACGGAAAAGCAAGACCACCAGAAGGCCACTGTAAAAGACAACTTTTACATCGAGGCAGAACGTGATCGATGACAGGCAAATATAACTTCAACGTCACCCAGTCCACATGTAACAATACCAGCTATGTAAACAGCAACTGCATTAAGAAAATTGCCACTTAACATTTGCGTTGTGTTCCATAAATAAGTTACGAGGCAAATAAGATTAGAAACTAAAACACAAAAATCATCATACTGGTTACAAACCAATAATGCACTTCCAGGGTTCTCACATCATCTGAATAATGACATGGAAAAATATAGCAAGTTGAAAAAAACAACAATAATGCGCAAGTAAAATAAACAATATTGCGTGTTTGAAAATCATTATTTTAACTGAACAATTAAATGATAAAATATATAAATATACTATATATATATATAAATATATATATAAATACACTGAACACTTTTGTTTTTGCCCCCATTTTTCATGAGCTGAACTCAAAGGTCTAAGACTTTTTCTATGTACACAAAAGGCCTATTTCTCTCAAATATTGTTCACAAATCTGTCTAAATTGTGTTAGTGAGCACTTCTCCTTTGCCGAGATAATCCATCCACCTCACAGGTGTGGCATAGCAAGATGCTGATTAGACAGCATGATTAATGCACAGGTGTGCCTTAGGCTGGTGGGGGTCGGTGACGCGGTGGGCAAGTGACGTAACCGGTGTTGCGGCTTAACACCGGTATCACCGTCAACACCGTCTATCGCGGCAAGCCTATAGTATACCGTATAATTTCAAGTAAAATATATATAAATTTTTCTTAAATAGTTTTTTAAGGCTGAGCGTAAAAAAATCTAGATATATTTTCACATTATTGCATTACTTTCAAGGCCTGGAAATCAATTTTTTCCCCCATGACTTTTAAAATAAACTTCACGCCAAAATCAGAACTGATCCAAATTACAACACAAAGATATTTTTCCCCACACTCTTGACTAAAACTGGTTTGTTTTGTAGAGCAGGCATCTGGGCAAGAATCAAAAGATCCCAAACATCTCTTAAAAGTCAACTCAGATGAACTCTAAGGACAAGCCACCCTTTATATGGGACTAAAACACATTACAGAAGCAATTGTACACACTGATGCTCTAGGCACCTTTATTTGACACGCTGCCTCAGAGCAGCCCAAGTGAGGACAGTGCTTAACAGAGAATGCATTCCCTTCCTATTCTCAGCCGGGCCGCATTTAGACCCCCTTACAATTTCTAAATAAGACTACAGCACTGGGACAGGGGGCTGCAAAGCACAGAGCAGTTTGAAGTACATCTCGTTTGTTGAAAAGGCCGTCAACTCTCGTCTATGATGACACAGCTACTTTTTCGCTGATGTAAAATAATAATTCAAACATTTCAAACTCACCTGAGACACCGTTGTCCGATGGTAAGGGGTCTGGGCTTACATGATTGGATTTGTCCGCTCGACATTCCAACAAGAAGCATATACATACAATCCAGAAAGTCACCAATCTGCTGAGCTCCATAGTGGGACAGCTGTTTTGGGATATGAGCGAGAAAGATCATGTCAGCAAACCAACAATCCAACCCCTGCATGTCAAGTCATGTATTAAATTAATCCCAAGACGAAAAAGGGAAGAACACTGGCAAATGGAACACACTTATGCTGCATCCGAATATGCCTGCTTTCGTACTTTATAGCAAATGAAAAACAACACGTGAAAAGAGCAGCATGTCCAAATTTCATTCAATCCATCCATATTCATACTATACAAAACATACTTTTTTAACTCTAAGTAAAGTTTTTAAGTAAGTTTCAAACTAAATATAGCACCTACTAGACAGTATGCAATTTTGGAGGCCGCTTTAATGTCTTTAATTATGACACTTATTATTCTGCACATGCTCAGTAGAGTTCTCTTTTTGCCCAAGAAAAAAGGTAATAGATAAAAGTCCCTATTTTGAAGTATTAACTTTTCTTCTGCTATATAAATTTATGGTGCCTCAGAACTTTAGCTTTTCTATTTTATATCTATAATACATAATAAGAGTATTTAAAAGTACACAAATATATTTTAATATATAAATATAATAATGTAGGCCCCACTTACACTTTTGTTTAAATGCATTATTACTAAGGTAAAAATAAAAGTAAAAAATAAAAATAAAAAAATTCAGTAAGCAGAGTGTAAAAGTATTTTAAAAAATGATGTTAGTCATTCAAGAGAAATATTTAAGATACAGTGGGTTAATAATTTTAACTCGTGCTTTGCAGAAATTCACTTCTTGTAATTACTCAAAAAATTATTATTACTATTTTTTATTAATTTTAAATTATTTTTAGAAAAATTTACCCTTATGTAAATTCAAATTTCAGAAAGGTTATTTTTTATTTATTTATTTAGTCATTTATCAGACGCTTTTATCCAAAGCGACTTACAAATGAGGACAACAGAAGCAATCAATTGTAGTATTAAAACAACTACATGTGTATGTACAACCACACACACATACACATATACACATATATATATATATTTATAAATTCAATATATATATTATTTCATTTCCATTTAGTTTGTTGAAGTATTAAAATAACTCAAATTAAATAAAACTAAAAACTTAATAAAAGACCTATACAGACATAATAAATTCAGACATAATTTAACTAAAATTAAAATAAATAACAAATACAAATCAAATGACAGTAGTTTATGAGTAATCCTAAAAAATTACACTGCCAAACACACATGCTAAAAAACAACAACTTACTTACACATAGTAAGAAATGGTTATAAAAACTGAAACAGAAGCGAAACAAGTAATAGAAAAGAGGAGAAATGAAAGAAATTAAAATTAAATTAATTAAATTAAAGAAATTTAAATAAAAATTAATTATAGGTTATGGTAATTAAAAATAGTACGATGTTTTTATTTGTTGTCAATCAGACCCCCAGTAAAATGTATTGTTGAAAAACACATTAAATCAAAAATAAGTAAATAAATAAGACACCAAATAAACACCAAAACTAAAATGTTACAAATTGCTTTATACATGTTTATTTCCATAACAAATCGAACGCAATTTTTTTTTTCTCGCGATGACGTGTGATGAATGCTATCAAGTTACTCCACTAACTTACTCACCTGTCAACTAGTTAACATTTTTTAAGTGGAAACTATAAAGTCCAGCCTTTGGTTAACTATACTCGCCATTTAAAAGGTTTACAGTCTGAAAGGTTTAGCTTTAACGTTACAGTACCATATGAAGGGCAACATAGACTTTACAAAATAATAATCTTAATAATTAACACATTAACCTACGTATTATATATCCAGATATGGTTCAGGAGCAGATCGTAACTAGTAATAGTTGTTTCACCCACATTTGCTTAACAAAATCAGTCATAAATAGCTGATTCATAATCAACGACACTGTCTTATCTTTATATTCATGCGGTTGAATGCGCAGCTGGCTTTGTAGCGGCACGAGGCCACTGGTTCTCACATTTCCCTCTTCCTAAACACCCAAATCCATCTCTAAAACGATACGTGATGTAAAGCACAGCGAAACTAAACGTTAAACCGTTTTAAATGAGCTGCGTTACCTCGGATCCTCGTGGAGATCGTCTCAGTGTTTGAGGTTCGTCTTCAGCTGCCCTCTCCTCCCATCAGACTCCATGGAGGCTTTGTGTTGAAACACTCCAAAAACACACGACCACACGGTTCTGTCCGGTTTTCCGTCCCGCCGATGAGAGAATACGGCAGGTGGACGGTGGCTCAGTCGTCCTCTGTCAGAGACAGAAGCAAAGAGAGTCCAAATATGCTGCGCTTCCTCCTCGATTCACGCCGGGCTCGCAGTCTGCGGCGCGACGCATGCGCAGTCACACACTCCCTGCTATCACACTACGCCTGATCAGCGATCACTATCACAGGCTCCGTTATAACAAGCACACACATGCTGCTTAGTTCAAGGTGTCGACTTTACATCGACTTATGATTATTTAGTATGTTTATTCTGTTTACCACAGTGGAGGGTGTTTTACATATTTTTAATATTTATATAAATGATTATGTCAAACTATTAATCGCGATTAATCGCATCCAAAATAAAAGTTTTTGTTTACATAATATACAGTATGTGTGTGTACTGTGTATATTTATGATGTAGGCTATATATAAATATACACACATATTATATGTTTGAGTATATACTGTATTTTGACAATTTTAACATGAATATATTTATATTAATATAATTTATATTATGTAGAAATATATTTAATATATAAACATATTTTTCTTAAATATATATGCATGTGTGTGTATTATATATACATAATAAATATACACAGCACACACATGTAAACAAAAAAGTTTTTTGGATGCGATTAATCGCGATAATCGCTTGACAGCACTAAATATTAATACATAATATAATTATATAATATTACATTTATTTTTATAATTTTATAAGGTTGCTGTTATTTATTTTGATCAATTATTTGCACATAGGACTTTATATTCCCTTATACTATTATACTTTGTATTAATATCAATTATGTTTCTACATTTAGGCACTTAACTGGCACTTTTATCCAAAGCGACTTACATTACATTCAAATTATACATTTTATCAGTTCATGCATTACCTGGGAATCAAACCATGACCTTAATGTTGCTAGTGCTCTGATGTTTGAGCTGCTGCAATCTAAAAGATAGAAAATCATTTACTAACCCTAATATCTAACCTACTTCCTTAATTGGGGGCTTGCATGACATTTATTTTTACACAGATTTCTGCATAAATCTGCAGAATTCCCACAAATTCAGTGCAGAAAATATGAAAAAGGCCACAGAATCTGACTGAGCCATAAAACACTCTGCCAAATCACCAGCAATAAATAGTCAATAATTATACAACTTCCAGTTGTGCATAGAAGGACGCAAGGAAGTGGCCCTTTGACTTGTGCAAAAAAAAAGTGCATTCACTGTTTGATTGGAGTCATTGGACACCCACATCTGCTATGATGGTGTTTTCCTAACACTTTTCTTGTTCCACTCCCCCTTCCACGTGAAGGGACTGCAGAGCGTGCTTGTGTCTGTGAAAAGATAACACTGCCTCCTAGTGGCCTCGTGATGACACTGCAAAATGTCATTAATGGATGTTAACATTTCACAGTTTCAGTTTGAAGCATCCCACGCTCTTTTGGATCAATCACGGCGAGTTTAAGTGAATAGTTCACCCAAAAATGAAATCTGCTCACCCTCTGGCCGTCCAAGTCCATGTTTCTTCATGGGAACAAATCCATCATTAAGGCTTTTCTGGCCAAAGTACCTGTCCATAATCCATGATAACGTTTCCTACAGTGACAAAGTACATCCACTCTTGTTCTCTCACATCAAAATCCACCAACATATTTGTTTAGAACTGCTTTTTTTGCTTGTAAACTGTGCCTTGATACATGCTCTGGACAAAGTACCTGTCCATAATCCATGATAACGTTTCCTCCAGTGAAAAAGTACATCCACTCTCGTTCTCTCACATCAAAATCCACCAACATATTTGTTTAGAACTGCTTTTTTTGCTTGTAAACTGTGCCTTGATACATGCACACTTCTTTCCCGATTGATACAATATGACTTTTTCACTGGAGAAAGCAATATTATGGATAGAGGACTTGTATTTTATCTGGAAGCAACAGTTTGAACTGGAAAAAAAAAAATCTTACTGATGGATTTGTTTCTTACAAACATGTTGCTTTTTGCTTCACGAGATGTTAACTGATGGATTATTGTGATGTTTTTATCAGCTGTTCTAACTCTCATTCTGACGGCACTCATTCACTACAGAGGAGATATACATATCAAGTGTGTCTATATACAAATGTCTTTCTTTTTGACATGCACCCCATTAAGTTATGGTCTACCTCATCTTTAAACTTCTCCACCGGCTCTTTGCTTTTTTGTGTCACTGACTTCCTCTCAGTGCACTAGGCTGTGTTCACTTCCTCCTTCAGTCCCCTGCGTGTCACTGTATTTAGGGACACTTTTATTCATACCACTATTGACAATTTCCTGGACTCTCTTTTGTATCATGCCCGGTGAGTTTATCTCTTATTTGCATTTGATTCTCTGTCCTATTAGCTTTTATTATAGGCCAGATTTAATTTGCATCTCTGGTTTGATCATTTGTAAACTGATAAGAATACAGTGATGTCATTAGAGCAGTTACATCCTTTTTTTATTCTGCTATAGTCAAATGGAGCTCCGTTGTGGTTTATGTATCTGACCAAATAACAATACAAGTTAATATGTAATGGTATTTTACATTCTATATGTATTGGATAATATTAAAGAAAGAAAGAAAACCTTTACTTTCTACTAAATATATAGTGCAAGTTACAGTATGCGAAGCCTATATAGTGTTGGTAGCATTTGGATATACAAGAACACAGACAATATTGTATTTATTAGATAATTTAATGTGTTATGTGTATATTTAATGTGTTATTTTGTTTTTAATTTGCCTATTTTTGGTATAGTGTTGTAAAGCACTTTGGTCAACTCCGGTTGTTTTTAAACTGTGCTATATAAATAACATTGTATTGTATTGTATTGTATTGTATAATAAATGGGGGGAAACATTCAGCTTTTTGCATGTCGTTTCAAACTCATGATTTTTTTTCTCACATGGAACACAAAATTAGTCTTATGCTCACCAGGAATGCATTTGATAAAAAAAATTTTTTTAAATACAGTTAAATCAGAAATATTATTACAATTTAAAATAACTGTTTACTATTTGAATATATTTGAAGTTGTAATTTATTGCTGTGATGCAAAGCAGAATTTTCAGCATCATCAGTGTCACATGATCCTTCAGAAATCATTCTAATATGCTGATTTGCTGTTCAAGAAACATT